ACTTTTTAAAGTACCATAATTATAATGATACATTTTATTAATTGTTCCAAGTGAATACAGAAGAAGTGGAGAAAAAACTGTATATAGGTATATATATTTATCTAACAAAATTCTACACACCAAAAAAAAAAAAAAAAAAAAAAACTTTTTGACATTCTCTTAGATAAAAGAAGTGAGCACTTATAGCCTAGGAAGACTTCTAGATGAGCAGTCCTAAGGTGCAGCTCTTGGGTGGCTGTTTTATTGCTTCACCTGGAGAAGAAAGAAGAGAAAAAAGTCCGACGCACCGGAGTCAGATCTGTTCTGATGTTGTGGTCGTGTTGTGCATCTTTCTCTCTCTCTTTTTTCTCTCTATCCCCCTTCTCTGGATCTCTGTCACTCTCTCCCTCTCTCTGTCACCATTTTCTTTGCTTCTCCTCCCTCTTTGGGTTTCATGACACTCCGCTGTTAACAATCAGAGTTTCCTCCGCTGTCCATCTCCCCTCTCTGTAAGTAAACTTTTATTTCTTCCTAATTGTTAAACTTTAAGGATAATTTTTCAATGCTTATACAAACTGCTGCATCCTCTACCGCTTGTTGATTGTGTTAAGATAACAACTCTTCCATCAGTAGCGTTTAGGACTTTTTTTTTATTTTAAATTGAGATGCGGTTTTGTTGAATTTTCTTCACTTTAACATAGCGGGCCTCCTTCTGCGTCTTAAATCCGACTTGATAATCTAAAACAGATGTTCATTCAAGGCAGATAAATAGTGCTTTGTTGTGGCAACCTGTAGACTTATGCTTATTCCACATTTAAATAGATTTATGCAGGTCCATGATAAAAAAATATATATTACAGGAAGATTTATTTTAAACAAATTAAAAGGTTGACATCTCATTGCAGATCACATGCGTAATTTATTGTTTTAGTTTCTGCTAAAAAAAACATCAGAAGGGAATAAAAGTATTTATGTGGAGCTTGTGTAGATTCCTTTTTTTTTTTTTTTATATTTTATTTTAATAGGATTTGGACATCAGTTTAATTGAATTAAAAATCCCAAAATGTTACTTTTATTTTATCAACATACATACTGATAAATTATCAATTACTACAATTATGTTCTCACAAATTAAATGATTGTACGATAAGAAGATTATAGAAATAGTTAATAGGATAATTCTGCAGAAACTATTGTTTTAAAAATCAGGGGAAAAGGGGAATCTAATAACCATGAAATCTGCTTTAATTCACAGACGTTTGGGTTAGTTTAAAGGGGATTCGAAACCTTTTAGCTTTTCTTTTTTGCCAAATAATTATACAAAAAAAAGTCACAGAGAAGAATCAATTATCGGTTTATTTTTAGGAAGATTTAATTATTGCAAATTAATGTTTTTTTTTTTCTTATTTGATTTATGGTTTTCTCTTCCGTCCAGCTGCCCTGTACCTGAATGCGTTTTCTTCTACAAGTGAACATGAATACTAAATGTAAGAGGCAGTACTTTATTAATCATCCAGTGGCATAAAACAGACAAATTATAATTTTTTTTTAATTATTTAAAAACCTCTTAATCAAACAGAAACAGTCCAGAGTATCTTTTCAATGTATGAAAAAGTTGGGTGAGGGTTTTGTCCTTACCCTTCATTTAAGTTTTTATTTAAAGGTCTGTAAAGTCGGAGCAGAAACAATCATCCCCCCCCCAATCTCTTGTCTGGGAGGAGGAGGAGGTAGTGGTGGAGGTGGGGTGAGGAGGAGGAGGAGGGGGGGGGAAGAGTCCTGCCTCTTTGCCTTCCTCAGATCAATGCCCTGGCCACTTACTTTCTGATGTTGCACGACGGGAAATGCTTTGAATACTTGCGACATGGCTGCGCGCATTGATTGTCAAGATTGACAGCATCTCCAGCTCCTGTAGTCTCCTGTCTGAGTGACTGCGCGAGGGGAGGGAGATAAAGAGTAGATAGGCGAGAAAGAAAAAAAAAAAAAAGATTATCGCAGTTCTCTTTTTGTCGTTGTTTTTATTTTTGGACACCCGAACTTCGCAGTTGGATCCTCCACTCCCAGCAGCGCTACTTTCCCGTATCTGGTCCCGTGCGCGCAGAGTCAAGTTTTGCTCAACAGATAGCAGCTCAGCGTAAACTGTAAACTGTAGCGTCCGCTGCGCTTAAAGGAAGGACGCGCAGTTTTCTGCTCCACGACTCTCATCCTCAAGGTAAGCCGCACGCTTTGCTGAAGACTCTAATTATTATTCTCCTTATTTTCTGTTTCAGCGCGAGCTGTCACTGAAAGCGTCCCGCGCGTTCTGCGCCGCGTGCGTGCGCGCGTTTAAACAATGCGGGAGAGTTCCTCGTGCGCCGAGCTGGCACGGGACGGGAAGTTTTTTGTTGCGGCGGAGATGAGTGAGAGTCAAACTTTGATTGTTGTGTCCTGATGAATCGCTTCTTTTTCCGCAAGAAAACCAAAACAAAACGAGCAAAGAGACGACAGAGGTGGGTTTAGTCTTAACTCGGAGTCCTTCTATCCAAAACAATTGGTAATTAACAACTATTTCCAGTATGTATTCATAGTTCTAAATGCATCCTCTAATACAATAAATGTTTTTTAAAGGTTTAAATTTTACTTTATGTATTTCAAGTTTGAGCTGCAAAACGCAACGCTGCGCAGTCACCAAAGCAAAAGTTGAACATTTTCAGATGAATAGTTCTCAACATATAGAGTGCATAAGTGCTGATTCTTAAACAATTTAAAAAGCGATGAAGGTTAGGGGTTTCTGTTTACATGTCCCGTAACTTTATTCCGCCTGGTGGCAGTTTCATTTCTGTCCACACCGCTGCGCCTCTTATTGACAGTGACGTGCGCCCTGGTAGGTTTCCTGTCTCTCTTATGACGGCTTGGTAAAGATTTCACTTTTTTTATTTTATTTTACAAGCTCCACTTTGACGTTTCTTTCAATTTTACCTTAATATGAGTTTGAAACTTGTTGGGGTAGAAAAAGGCAAACAAAAACTTTTATTACTTGTTAAATATTTTTTAGATAAGATGCGCAAAGTTCTTTTCAAGCAGAGCAGCATGGGAATTTTTTGCTCCTCTCAAACTCTCCAGAGGGTCGGGGAGGGGAATTGACCCCTTAAGAATGTATAAGCCGTAAATTAAATTCAACAATCGTAAGTCTTGTCTGTTCAGAGGCAGATGTAGGCTATATGACTACAAGAAAAGACTGTTCTAATTTTATCTGAGAGGGAACTTTAGTCCAGCGCCCCAGACTCTCCAAGTAGATTTATTGCTTTTTTGGACGGAGTTGTTTTCCTAAAAATAATTTTTTTTTGCTGTCTTAAGAGAATAAATAATTACAAACCAGCACTGATCTGATCAGCAATAACTTTTAATATATAAATAAGATTATTATAAGATTATTTTTTTTGTATTATCTAATTGATCGTGTATTTAGCTCTCATTTGACTCCTAATCTCAGGTAAAACGCACGCGTAAAACTCAATTTGACTCCCTAAAATCTAAAAGTTTTGATCCCATTATTATAAAAAGTCTAATTAGAAATGATATTCTTTGGAATGATTTATAACGCAGCTTTCTTTAGACCCCCCTTCTGAGGTCTAATAACCATCTTTCCCTTCTCTCCACAAACCTGAGCCCAGCTCTCCTGAGTGGAAAGCCTGTTAAAGTTTCCCTCTTTCTTCTTTCCCCTTCTTGGCATTTTGTTTCGACTCCTCTGTACGGCCCGTTTACGCAGGTCTCCTCATAAGGTAAGGCGGTTCTGGAGACCAAACGCAAACCTAAATGGCACATGTATAATTAGACTGCCCATTCAGCACATTGTCCTGATTGCTATACACGGACACTCGGCTGGGAGTCTTTTTTTTTTCTTCTCAGACGGCTGCTGCAGCTCAGCATGTCGCTTTATGAAAGAGTAAAAAAACAAAAGATAAAATAACTTGGCATCTGTAGCTTCAGACCTTTCAACTTTTATATATTCTCTAAATGGAGAACAGAATCACAACTAATCATCTTGTTTATTTAAAGTCCTATTTGTGGCAATCATGCATCTCAATATATTTGATCAGTGGAGATAATGTTAATTTTTTTTTTGGGAAGTGTAATCTTTCCACAATTTATTTGGCAATCCAATACATTTTTTTCCTATGAGTTCTACAAAAGTAAAAATAGTTTTTCAGTTGCCTAACAGGAAAAACAACTTCTTTATATATTTAAGGGTTATCCTAGATCCTTGGGTGACTTGATATTTTTATTGGCAACACTAAGAATTGTCTCCACTAAACGCAGCATAAGATGCCGAGAGTCAGGCGCTGCTTGTTCCAGGGAGTCCAGGGATTTTAGGACTCTCATTTAGGCTGAATGGAGAAACCCACCTGTCTCTAACGTATCCTGGATTATTCAAGTTCACTTCCAATCCACCGCTTTTCTTGTATAAGCAAAGTGTGAGATTGCTTCTGAGTTTTTTTTATTTTTTATTTAGTTTTTGCTGTTATACATTTTTAGATCTATTCACTAGCTGTCCACATCTTCCAAATATGTTTGAATCTTTTTGAGAAAGAGGGATCAATGAAAGGTCCTAATATGATATATCAAAAAGACTTGTTTCATAATGTTCATCTGGAAATCATATATTGGACTTGTCCTTGTTTAGTTTCAGATGAGTAAATGTTTGCTTAGAATTTTGCTGTTTGGTGAATCTCTTGGGGTATACCTTTCACCTTAAGGCGTGGCTAGAAATTATTATTTCCTGCCAATATATATACATATATATATGTATATACATACATATAGATTTTTTTAATGATGAAGCTGTGCCGTCAAATTGAAGTGTGTAGGTTTCTTTTAATGGCAGGATTTACAAGGACTGAATGAAATTATATTTCTCACAGTATCTGATATTCAGAATAGTTAAGAAAAAAGGTCAATTTATTACTATGATGAAATCTATAGCAATGTTTTATACATTCTTCAGTTTTATAGAAATTCAGCATTTTGATCAGGTTTTGAATGTCTTTCTGAGAATGTTTTTTTTCCAACTCGGCTTCGCTGTAATATATCTGTGTGAGGGTGTGTATGTATCAAAAGCACCTTATTGCTATAAAGTTCCCATCAATGAGTGGGAACTTTTGTCCATCCCCTGTACTTTATTCCTGTGTTTTTATTTTCTTTTTAAATTTATTTGAAAATTTAATTTTAGATTTTTTTTTGCCTCATTCATACAAATATCAACAAGAGATCAAGTGCATTGCTCTTTTTTTTTCTAGTGCAATAACATGTTTGCTGGTGACCAGGGGCTGCTATGGCATGTGACAAAGGATAGTGAAGCAATTGTAGAGAGATGGGAGCGGTTGAGTGGTGCATGGGTACCAGTTACTTCTTCTATGACCTGATGATAAACAAGATGAGAAGAAGGTAAACAACAGCAGGCTCTGTAAAGGAAGAGGGGGAGTGTAGCAGAAGGCTGGAGGACCGCAGGAGATAATAAAGGTGGCAGCACATGTTGTGACATCTGTCTTTCTAAGTGTTATCTAATTTGCAGTAGAATATCTCAACAATGATCACTGATGGGGAGATGCCACCGTATCCATGTGAGGAGTGAAGGGTGTTTGAAGGCGGATTTTGTTTTTAAATGAATATAAAGTTTCAGAGGAGATTTTATGAGTAAAATTCAACAAATGAACAACAACGTCTTATATTTGTTTTTTATTTTGTGTGAAATTAAGAAAAAAAAAAATCAGCTGTGGGACAAAAGAAACATATAGGGTCAATAACTCATGCAGAGAGTAAATTAAGAGCTAGAAAATGCATCAGCTGCTTCAAAAAGCATCATGAGGTTTTTTTTGTTGCTGTTTTAAAAGATGAATATAATTCCCCTTGAATGCAGGTCTTTCTAATGTCAAATCATCCTCTGAGTTTCAGGTTATATTTTTCATAGAGAATAACAGCGCCTACTGTGTGTGCGCTTGTGTGTGTAAGCACTTACTGAGCATCAACGCGGTCAGCGCCGTTTTTTTTTTTTTTTATTTGATTAGAACTTCATGTCCCTTTGGTAGCTGTAAGTGAACAGTATTGCTGACATTAAAGGATTACAGATGAAAAAACTATATACATAAATATGTGTATCATCACAGGAACTGCATAATTGCACAAGTAACCTAAGTGGCCCATTTTGATCTGTATCATTCACTCTCCCACTGAATATGTTTTTCACAAAATAATTGGACATTTTCTTTCAGTGCATAGCATAGTTACACTTAATTAAGTTTGACTTCAAAATGCAACAGACATGGCCATGGTAAGTAGCCTGGTGTTTTTTTCTTTCGTAATACTTTCTTTTTTTAATATCACACATTAATATGGAGAATTAATTGGAAGGGCGTCGGTGGCCGAATGTCTCTGACATGGGTCCGGGCCTGTAATCAGGTGGAGGAATTAGCGGGGCTCATTGTTTTTTATGAATCAGATGAAGATTTGTACAGTTGCTCTATGAAGATGGTTGCCTGCATTTCCATATCAAAGAGGCACACAGTGCAGCAGCCGGGCAGTAATTAAAATGTGGTGGATTTTGTAGTCACTGCGCACACACAAACGCACAAAGCACAAACACACTGATGCACACTCTCCCTTTCTTTCTCTGTCTCTCGCTTACACACACACACACCACACACGCACGCACCCCTTATAGACCAAGGCTGAGACCTGTCAGCTTGTGTGAAAAGACTGCAGGTGGTTGAAACTGAATTTTAGGCAAACACTTATGCTCTGTTTTTTTACATAAACGGGGGAACAGTAGTTGCTGCAAATATATAAAAAACAAAAGTTGACAAAAGAAAAAAAAAAAGCTTTAAAAGTTTGCTCTTCATTCTTTTAGTTTTGTGGAACATCACGATTGGTGCAGTTTGAGAGTTCTGCATAAATTATCTTAGTCTCTGTTTTGCAGGCAACAGCCATGGTGCTTTTTTGAATTTTAGTTGCAGAGAGTGTGCAAAATTCTTGTTTCTTTAAGTGGATGCATAATCGTTTCATAAACAGATGGATATGTTATGTGTGCGGTTTCAAGTGACCTTGCTGCAGTTTGTGATGCCTAAATAAATCAGAGGAAGAAAACTGAGATCTTCTGCCCCAAGTGTTTTCAGCCTTAGCAGAATTGTTTAAAAAAAAATCTCTAAAGACCTGTGAGCACGTCTTGTGAGCGGACAA